GCTCATGTGTGCAAATTTACACATGAGTTAATTTACACACATAAGTAAGAGTTAATTTGTTATGCGTTCAGACGAGTTTTATGTACTGTAAATAAACCCTCATATTGTCATATAAAAAAAGGAGATGGACAGATTCAGAATTGTGAATTTTCACAGAAAAGGGGTATTTCTTTACTATTTGGGTGTGGGACTAACTTTTGGATGATCCAGAAGGAAACTAGAAGAAAAATCAATCCACTGATTGGCAGACCGAACCGTTCTTAACAATTTTAAGAACGAAGATTGGTATTAGAATTTTCGAAAAAAGGAAAATTTCTTAAAACTTTGTGAAAAGTTGGAAAATACTTTGGTCCCGGCCCAAAGACTTTAGAAGAGCCGTTAGATGTAAAGAAAAAGGTGGCTGTTACCACCTACTGGTTACAACAAAACAAATATATGTGAAGAGGGAATAAACTCGGACCCCTGGCAATTCCAGAGGTGGGATCAGGTGCCTTGGAGAAGTAAGCATCCCCTGTCGATCGGTCACACCCGCCGAGAGACCAATGTAATGATCAGGTAGACGGAACATTCCATAGTCAAATCAGTATTAAACAAAGTCCTAACAATTGGTATGAAACAAGTCAGCCAAAGTATAACCCTGGACATCAACAAGCCCAGATTCCTTCATTATTCAACCAATTCAAACTTGTCATACTGAACAATGAGGCAAAGAAAACAGTTGTTAAAAGGTTCCTTAATTCATAAGTTAAGTTATTTAAAGATCTTTGCCCTTATATTTCTGCCATACAAGTTTAAAATTGGTTGGTAAAAGAGGAAAATTTACTAGTTTGACACCCCAAGATGGTGACCAAGGGAAATAACTCGAAGGGAAAATACTTCATATGAAAACTATCTATTTACGAAATGCTGACTTTAAACGAGGTTGCTCACATCCCTGTAACATCAACTTATATATCAGTAGCTTGCCTCGGTTTAAAAACTGAAAAAGGATGAAGAAAGTCATCAAGGGCTAAACTTTGGTGGGGCGATTGATGCACGCATATTCCTATCATTACTCTTAAGCGTTCACATGGAGACTACTTGAAAAGAAAGGGGTTCTACTCGTTGCATCTGCAGGATGTTTGCGACCACAGCTATACCTTTAGAGACATAAATGGGTTTGCCAAGAAAGGTTCATGAAGCCCGCTCTTTTTGCAAATTCAAAAATTTATTTCAGAGGAGATAATGGCTCCTTGTTTCCAGAGTGGAGAAAGCAATTTGGAGAAAGTACTATGCTAGACAGCAGTACTTCTCGGCGACCTTTATGTATCCTTTGTAGAGTTGGCTTTTGAAGCCATACACCAACAGATCTACCCTTACAAAAACTGAATTCACTTTCAGCTATAGTTTAAGTAGAGCAAGAATGACCATTGAAAATCCGCATTTTTAGAGCTTTGCTTTCTAGCCGCCATGTTACCGACTGATATTTTACACGCCAATGCATACACAACAGTAACAATGCTTAAAATGGAGATTGATGCAATACACAAGACGAAAAACTTAAGTAAGTAAATTTGTTGCATGTTCATAAGACAAAATTCACACACTGGAGCAAATAATTTGCGACAACATGTATGCAAAAGTTAATTTGCACCTTGTCCTGACCAGTTGCAAATTTACTCCACTGTGCAGAATTTGCATATGGGCAAATCAGTTCCTACGACAAAAATTGTCCATGTAGGTAAATTTACATATGTGCAAAATATACTGAAGTATGCAAATCGTGTCGTATGAATGGGGGTTTATATGACTACATGTATTTAATCATAAGCAAATTTGCTCCTGTGTGCAAAAAGTATTTACTATACGCGCCCCCTGCGATCTTATGCACTGTAAGTAAATATGGAATTATGTAATCTACAATTTTATTTTTTTTAAATCAATGATTTCCTTAAAAATGGCCTCATACAATTACTTTCAAATGTATAAAGCATTGGGATTACAGTATGACGCTTTATTGAGCGCAAAATTAAAAGAAGACCTCGATCTATCAAGCATCTACACACCACATTACTGGCAACTGGGACTGCAACTAGGATTTTTTTTTTGAACGTCGGTTTAATTAACTTTTACTCTTTTTGTATTTTGTTTAAATTAAAAAAAAAACACTATTTTATGGTATGACCAAAATGACAAACCACCATACGCTTGTAAATCAATTTTATAGTCAAAATACCTGAAAAATCACTTACCTGTAAGAGCGAATTTTAACAACTTTGCCGTCTGTCGTCCCAGTTGCATCGGCAGTCCCATTGCCGGTATTAGGGTGTGATCTAGTTGGCAATGATTTTCTTATAATTTAAAAATTAAATGATGAACAATTGTTGAAGAATTTTAGAATTAAGAGAGACTGATCTTTTCATCCGTAGAGGACTTACTGGAAAGCTTTCTCCATCGAGAAACCCCATAGATGAAATATTTAGCTCACAATATGTGGTTTGCATCAGTAAATAGATTTGCACCTGTCCCTTACTATTGTGGTAGTGTCAGATACACGGCTTCCTACTAGCTTGGGCTAGTGGGTTAACCCTTTAGCTCAATTGGTAGAGCACTGGACTGGCAAGCCAGAGGCCCCGGGTTCAATCCCTAGCAGAGGCACAAAAATGTCTCTGTTACACTATGTTCAAATTTATGCTTACAGCAGTTAATATGTAAATGCGTTTATACAGTAAGATATGCAAATCATTTGCAGATACAGATATAAATGATAGGAAATATCATTATACATAATTATAATTATCCTATACAAGGCGTTTCTGTCTAGAGACAGTCATGTGACAGGACCAATAAACTTCATATTTCCATGCTGTCGTCATGCTTTTCATCATATTCAACCTCGTGCATTTGACCACATTACTTATTTCGTTGAATGAAAAGTTCCGAGAGCAGCAGACGTCACAAAATTTATAAGAGTACAAACGTTTCACCTCAGACCAAGCATCTGATAGTACGCATCCATAGATGCATAATCCATGCAAGTTTGGTCAACATAAGGCTTACAGCTATCCGGGAAGGGACCTACTCCAAAAACTTAAACCTGGTCACTAAACTGAAAAATATAGGTTATATCCAGCAACGGAAGCATGTCTAGTAATGTCAAATGTGCACTCTTAGATAACTCATCGGCTAAGTAAGTTCATCCAGGTAGGGCTTATAGATACTTAGGAATGGACCTGCTCCAAAAAATTTTAACCTATTCTGTTGGTCAGATTAAGCATCCGAAGAGATATGCATCATCCATACAACTTCCAGGTAGGGCTTATAGTTACCTGGGAAAAGACTTGCCCGAAAAACTTTAATATTGTCATTCATCTGGAAAACGAAGGTCAGATCCAGCATCCTAAGCATATCTACTTTTTATGTATTCCTAAATGCATCATCCATGCAAGGCGCGCAGAATGCCTATAGCTTTAAGTATATAAAAATCATAATCAATTTGTGAATTTAGTATTTAGAGTAAAGTTCTCTCATTATTGGAAATTATGAAATTATGATAAACAAAACTTTTCTGAGGAAATTTTTCTCTGCAAAAATTATTCTGTTATTAAAAAAAATTATGTGGTATTCGTGGGCTTCGAATCCCTAACAATAAAAATCCCAAGTATCATTTTCCTTTGAGACTATAGCACGCTAACATCTACGCTGCACAGCTCTTGGTGAATCATGTTTGTGAAATGACCCTTGACCAAATGGAGTATTTCTCGAAAAGATGCAAATGTTGTGTCATAAAAGTGTATTTTTAAGCTATAGTGGGTCTTTGCTCCATGTTTTTGTTGACCAAAAAATGTATATTTTTTCGAACTTGAGGACAAACTTTGAAAAATATGGAGCGAAGGCCCACTCATATCGAAAAACTGTGTTATAGTATGAGAAAATGATTCTATTTGCCCTATCTAGTGTTTGTATGCTATTTCATAAGTAAATAATTTTAATTTAATTAGTGATATTTTTTCAAATTGTGGAGATTTTACATAAAGTATACTTTAATTTTAGATGAAATATCAAAGAAAATTTTGTTATAATTGAGATTTAATTTTTCACCTTTATGTTTGTTGCACTATAGGCATTGCGCTCGCCTTTTTCGTCCACCTTCGTTAAACAGCAAACAAAAACATAAATAAGTCGCATATTGATATAATTATCTCGCATGTTGACATAAGTCGCATATCGACATTATTATGTTGCATCTTGCATCTGTGATGTCAGATACTGGCGTTAATTAGATTTACCAATATTAAAATCAGATTCTCGTAAAAGATTTGTAACTTGCATGTCAACAATTATCTTGCATGTAAACATAATTATCATGCATATTGACATACTTTCCTTCCATGTTAACATAATTTCTTGCAAATGATGGAAAATAAATCTTAAGTCTGTAGTCTGTGTTTCAAGTGACACAAAGTTTACCAGTAACCAGATTCAGATAAAAATCAGTACAATCTGAATTTGTGGAGATTTCGATAGTCGATATTTTATATTGTTACTCTAGTGTAATTTTCTGGTCTTTGATAAAAGAGCTTCAGACAGAAGATAACAGAAAAAAAGTATAGATTTTATAGCAATATAAAGTAATAATTTCATCAAAAGTATGGTAATATATACAGGTTAACACGTGTGGTAATAAATGATTTTATCTCTGATATTTAAAAATTACACTGCATGATTGTAGATGTTTTACAACAATAAAAGATCATCTCATACAAAGTTGAGAATAACAGGTAAAAATGTTTAATGTGACCAAACCCAGTAAAAATCATATAAACTACAAAATACATGTTACAATACACGTTGGAGATAAAAGCGGTAGAAAGTTACCGAATCCAATAACATTAAATAACACCATTCTTCAAAGAATGTATACATGCACTGAAGTCCAATAAAAATGAACTATGGAAAAGTCAATGATTGCATAATTTACAATAAAAATATTTTTGTATTTGTAGCAAAATTATTTACAGTGTAAAAATATCGCTCCAAGCTCTCTTTACGTTTTAATTATTACATTTTTTAAATGACGAATAAAACAAAAATGTGCCTTCAAAAGAAAAAGAATTCATAAAACTTTTATTTGACAAGTTTTAATCTACATTTGAATATAGTTTAGAACTTTACCATATAAAAACTAGATTTACCCCATGCCATATAGCAAGTAAGATATGTTCTAGAGTATTTACTTTTTTATTAATGACTAGGGTAAGTAACTTATCCTGCTTGTGTATTAGAATGATGGTAGTTCACAGGTTCGTTGTTATTCAGAGTAAAATACAAAGTAAAAGCCAGAATATATGTGACTAGTCCTGCAATAACACCACATATGACGAAAATCAGCGCTACCTTGGCGCGCTTCCGGGAAGACGCTTCGTCTCCAAGTTGCCATGCATGATTCGCTTGAACTGTAAAAGGAAAACGTGTAAAATTTTAAGTTTCCTAAATAAATACTTCTTCTCAATGATCGTGTGCTATCTTCTTTAATTCAATTTGAAATTTAGTTTTTAATTTCATTACTGGGCATTAAATTGGTTCAGTGGACATATAATTTCAGAATGTAATTGTATTATTTAGATTATTTAAAACCAGTAAATTGCTAGTAATCAAGATTTACCTCCAAAGTGATACCCTAATAGACCAAAAATAAAATTGCAACATAGCAAGACAAAACATGACGTCACAACGTAGTCTTTTGGCTTTGGTTTCAATGGTCCCTGTCGAACCACAGGTGCGTCTATATTGTAAACTGTGACGTCACTGACGTATGACGGTGGGGGTAAGGCGTCAACAGGTTGGTCACTAATGACATTATTATGAGTTTCACTGTTTTCCTTCGAATTAGGACTCGTGTGATCTGGTGAGTATTTCGCTAGATGTGTGTCAACCTCGAGTTGAATATCCTCGAAGTCATCGTCATCCTCACTTTCAGATTTACTTGTTTTCTTGTCGTCGTTCACATCCATTTCTCTTGAAAGGAATAGGAGTTCATTAATTTAAGTTCTTACAAATCCATCTTTTGTAATATCGATATATAATAGTAGTGTAACCTATTTTTGTGAAATCGATATAGCAGTGTAACCTATTTTTGTGATATCGATATAGCAGTGTAACCTATTGTTGTCGATATAGCAGTGTAACCTATTTTTATAATACATGTACCTAGATTGTATATGAAGTCAAAAAAAAAAATAGATAATACAACAAAAATAAAATAATTCAATAAAATCTTATTAAATTGATACTTTTTAAACGCTCTTTCAATAAACAATATAAAGGATTAAACTGGGGCTAATCATATACATGTATAGTATAACCAATCATCAATATTACATATTCTTACATGTAAGTAGAAAAGTGAGGCCCATTTCAGAGGGAAATTCGCACCATATAAGACATACAGACTCCCCTTTCCCTCTTGTATAGTCCGCTCAATTTATTGTCGACAGTAGATTCTATTCACAAGAAAAGAATTCCATACAGTGTTACATTTGCTCATCAACCCACAGCCCTCTTTTTAAAATGTTCGTATTCATGCTATCAGCAATGTTTACGTTGAATAGATGGCAGGTCAAACAACAAAACACATATTCTTAATCACATCTAAAGGTTGGATAAAATACTAGATTATCATTGAACACAATCCAATCAATACAATACGCACTCGGCCGTACAGTGCGTACATTTTCCATACATTCTCATACATAAACTTGACACTACGTTAGCAGGTTAGATTTGAAAAAACGATGTATATTTCGATTGAACATGACAGGCTAATGACCAAGGTATGAAACAAGATCTGTGCCTTCTATAATTACATCAAGCTACTCCCCGGAACATATAGGAAATAATTCGTTAATATTGAATAAGAAACATTACGATTATTTCCTTATCTATTAGATTATTTCACTTAAACAATGTAAACATGGCCTTACCTCACCCGGCGTGCACATTTACCTGTTTACACCTGAAGCGTCATTTCATACGGGAGGCAACTCGAGATTTAATAAACTATATATATATTGGGTCCACAAGCGTTTGTCCGTAATTTATGATTGTGTGGGTTTTTTGTTTTCTATTCTAAAGATTTAGATATAAAGGCACATAAAAGGCATTACATGTATACATATTTTTTTTTCTGAAGGGTGAGGTTAATTAACAAACAAATGAGAAACAAAAAAGGGTGATTTCGTAGAAACTTGGTAGGGGGTGTGATTTACATTTTCCCAGCTTTATATCAGTTTAAAAAGGATTTTCCTCTTCCTTAACAAGAGACTCGTGTCAGCACTAGGGCTTGATCCCGGTGTGTAATAAAAATAAGAGAAAAAAAAATATAAACACCAATTACTAAATCTTTGGGTTTATCTGGAAATGACAATATTTTACAGTTAATAATTCAATCATATTATATTCATGCTGTCCGTCTCCTAGAAATTTAGCAGTAAAGAAAATAAGGTACAAAGGTCAACTTTGCCCCGTCCTGGGGACAGAATTCTGTTGCTGAGGACTAGTAGCTATGCATTATTTTCTTTCAAACAATTTGCCAGCTCCATTCTATATGATGTAAATTACTAATAATTGATGCCCAACTTAGCCCAACCTGGGCCCCAAAACGCTGAGCCCAGAAGGCATGAATTTTAGGTAGCGGGTTATGTACTCATGAGATGAAGGCAAGCAGTCTGCATGACACGTGTAGATGTTTTAGTTGTTTTTGGCTAACCTGAGCCACATGTTCTGATGAGATCTGTCCGTTGTCTGTCATCGCCGTCGTTGTAAATTCGTAAGAAACATTTCAGTCGGGGGGGGGGGGGGGGGTAACAAAAAAAAAAAGGTCATCAGACGTTATTATTCATGATTATTGAGGGGACTCAAGTGTACAGTAGCTATGCCTGGACCAATTTCAATCAAACTTGGCACAAAGCATCCTTGGATGAAGGGATGGCAATGTTGACTGTTGCTACGCTAGAGGGCGTGGCTTCATCATTCTGCGGGTAATAGTGTTTTTTAACAAATGTTTCACGACGAATCACATCGATCCTATATTTATTTCAATGTAAAACTGAGATCGGGATCCCCTTCAGTGGCCCAACCCTACCCCTTGATCCCATGAATTGAAAAATTTCAAAATTATACTACCCCAGTAAACTTTTTCACGTTTCATCTCTTCTGGTCCAGTGTTCTTAAGAGGAAGATTTTTAAAAGATTTTCCCTATGTTATTTCATTGCAAAACTTTGACCCCTATTGTGACCCCACCCTACCCCTGGGGGCTAGAATCTAAACTACCTCAGGAAGCCTTCATAAGTTTCATCTCTTCTGGCCCATTGGTTCTTGAGAAGATTTTTTTAATGACCCAACCTATTTTAGCCTTTTCTTGATCATCTCCTGTTGGAATAGGATTTGGCCCTTCATTTGAACAATTAAGAATCCTCTTTATTCCAAAATCATGTGAAAAGTTTATAAACAGGCAGACAGAAGGATGCTGGACAAAAAGTGATTAGAAAAGCTCACTTGAGCTTTCAGCTCAGGTGAGCTAAAAATCAAAAAGAGGGTTGTTGTACATTAAAACCAGCAGTCTCTGATGAGACTGTAGCTCTACTGGTCTGTACATATTACAAAGGAAATGTAGCACTTGGATTTGAAACTTTGCAACACGCAGCAATAAATGGAATAATGTATCTTAATGTAGTCTACTTGTGTGCCAAGTTATACTGAAATCAGACTAAAACTGAAGGAGGAGTAGCCTTTTAAAGAAATATCACAGAAATTTCTATTTTTAGTAACCATGGCAACACCGTTCATCGAAATCAAAAACCAATGCATTAAATTATGTATCTTAGTGTAGTCTACTTGTGTGCCAAGTTATATTGAAATCAGACCAAAAACTGTAGGAGGAGGAGTGTTTTAAAGGAATTTCACAGAAATTTCTATTTTTAGTAACCATGGCAACACCGTTCATTGAAATCAAAAACCAATGCACTAAATTATGTATCTTAGTGTAGTCTACTTGTGTGCCAAGTTATATTGAAATCAGACCAAAACTATAGGAGGAGTAGCATTTTAAAAGAATTTCACAGAAATTTCTATTTTTTAGTAACCATGGCAACACCGTTCATCAAAATCAAAAACCAATGCACTAAATTATGTATCTTAGTGTAGTCTACTTGTGTGCCAAGTTATATTGAAATCAGACCAAAACTGTAAGAGAAGCATTTTAAAGGTACTTCACAGAAATTTCTATTTTTAGTAACCATGGCAACACCGTTCATCGAAATCAAAAACCGATGCACTAAAGTATGTATCTTAGTGTAGTCTACTTGTATGCCAAGCTATATTGAAATCAGACCAAAAACTGTAGGAGGAGTAGCATTTTAAAGGAACTTCACAGAAATTTCTATTTTTAGTAACCATGGCAACACCATTCATCGAAATCAAAAACCAATGCACTAAATTATGTATCTTAGTGTAGTCTACTTGTGTGCCAAGTTATATTGAAATCAGACTGTAGGAGGAGGAGTGTTTTAAAGGAATTTCACAGAAATTTCTATTTTTAGTAACCATGGCAACACCGTTCATTGAAATCAAAAACCAATGCACTAAATTATGTATCTTAGTGTAGTCTACTTGTGTGCCAAGTTATATTGAAATCAGACCAAAACTATAGGAGGAGTAGCATTTTAAAAGAATTTCACAGAAATTTCTATTTTTTAGTAACCATGGCAACATCGTTCATCAAAATCAAAAACCGATGCACTAAATTATGTATCTTAGTGTAGTCTACTTGTGTGCCAAGTTATATTGAAATCAGACCAAAACTGTAAGAGGAGTAGCATTTTAAAGGTACTTCACAGAAATTTCTATTTTTAGTAACCATGGCAACACCGTTCATCGAAATCAAAAACTGATGCACTAAAGTATGTATCTTAGTGTAGTCTACTTGTATGCCTAGCTATATTGAAATCAGACCAAAACTGTAGGAGGAGTAGCATTTTAAAGGAACTTCACAGAAATTTCTATTTTTAGTAACCATGGCAACAACGTTCATAGAAATCAAAAACCGATGCACTAAATTATGTATCTCTGTGTAGTCTACTTGTGTGCCAAGTTATATTGAAATCAGACCAAAACTGTAGGAGGAGTAGTGTTTTAAAGGAACTTCACAGAAATTTCTATTTTTAGTAACCATGGCAACACCGTTCATAGAAATCAAAAACCGATGCACTAAATTATGTATCTTAGTGTAGTCTACTTGTGTGCCAAGTTATATTGAAATCAGACAAAAACTGTAGGAGGAGTAGCGTTTTGAAAAATTGTTTACAGACAGACAGACAGACAGACGGACGGACGACGGACACCTTACTATCGCATAAGCTCTTCTGGTCTCTGACCACTAGAGCTAAAAAACCCTTCTTAATAATACGCCACAAAGACAAAACATGTGAAAGCCTCCTTCATAGTCCAAAATTCAAGTTTGTTAAAATCTTGCCCCCCCCCCCCCCCCCCCCCGGGGGTTAGGGAGAGGACACAGCTGGGGATTGAAGTTTTACATCCATTTTGTCTGAATCAAAACCTTTGTACGATTCAATGCTGCTGGTCTGTTTTCATGCTAACCCGTCAGATACTCCATTTATTTCACTCCTGTACAGCAAAATGAGTTTGGAAACTAGGATGAAAATTGATATGGACTATTTATTGCACATTCTCTCACACAGCTTTATTAAAAGCTTAGCAAGGTTGGTTTACATTACTTCATTGTAACTGATTCCTTTTGACTTGGTCCAAGTATATAAGGAGGGGAGGTCAACATTACCGCTACATTGCGAAAAATTTCAACTCATTTCCGCTACATTTCTTCGAAATTTCGGGTGATTATTACCGCTACATTTTATCAATAACACTATTGCCGATTACAACTCATTACCGCTACATATCGAATCAGCCAGCAATGACACGGAATACAAGTTCTAGTCATTATAATTCTTATAAGAGATTTCAAGACAGCAGTACGTCAAGCAAATGGCCTTCAAAGCTCTACCAATTATGTAAAGACTATGTGTTTTATCCATTAACAATGCTTGGTTTTAACACTTTCTAAAAAGTTTTATTGAATAAAATAGATTTTAAATAAAAATTGAAAACAAAAACATTCTGCTCAAAGTCTTTCACCTGCCCGTGGTGAGCAGGGGTAACAGGTCTTATGGATGTACATGCACTTCAAATCAATCTGTACATGCATAGTCCCCTGGCTAATGAAAGAGGAAATGAAGCGGTAATGTATACTTTTAAATGTAGCGGTAACGTAACCTTTTTTGTAGCGGTAATGAATATTTTGAAAATGTAACGGTAATGATACGCACCCATAAGGAGTTTAGTGACATAAAAGGAGGTTTCACTAGTGGGAGTACTATGAACCTTCACTGTCAGGAACAGTCACTCTTGTATGAATATTTCTAATAATGTACAGTAAAACACGCTTATAATCATGATAATGAATTGATGCTTAAGCGAAGTGATTTTCATTCTACAAGGCTATAAAATATATTGGGAAATGAACAGACATAATGAATTACGGTTATACCGAAGCAAAATCATCCGTCCCTGGCACTTCGTTACAAGTGTTTTACTATATCTGTAAGCAGTATCTAAAGGAGTCTTTAAGCTGATAATCATCATGTTAGTGTTGCTTGCTGCAAATGTTGATTGGTTGTTAACAATGAAAAACTGGTTTTACCCAGCAACTGTTGTCTGTATCACTGAATGCTTGTCAGCAATATAAGGCTACCAGGTGTTATTTAGCCAGTACCGGTAATTTTCATAACAGTTTCACTGATAATTGTTAGCAATGGAAGGCTAGCAGAATTTTTGCCAGTAACTTTTATAACAGTTTCACTGATAACTTGTTAGCAATGCAAGGTTAGCAAGGGTTTTAGCCAGAACTTTTTCAACAGTATCATTGATAACATGTATTAAGCATTGCAAGGCTAGCAGGTGTTTCAGCCAGGAACTTTCATCTCAGTATCACTGATAGCTTGTTAGCAAAGTAAGGCTAGCAGGGGTTTTAGCCTGCAATTTTTATTATATAAATATCACTTACAAATGCAATACATTTCAAGTTTCAGAAACCAACTGGCTCACTACATCTCCTGACTTGCAATGAATCATTTGTGGTTTTTCAACCAGATGAACTTAAAACCTTCACCAAGTCTTTCAATATAATCTAAAATAATGAAGCATTTAAAGATTAACATTCATTTAATGAATCTTATGAAATTTTCACAAAGAACTATAATGTCCACTACTGAAGCTTTTTTTTACATAGAATCTGTTTGATGGAATTTGTAAGACATCATATTTTGGCTACAGTCATAAAGTGTAACAAGAGGCCCATGGGCCACATCGCTCACCTGAGTAACTTTGGCCATGCTGTTCATTACCAGACTCCCCCCTTGTAATACCTATTGTGGCCCCACCCTCC